GTGGAGAATGTGGGGAAGAGACCTGAGTGCCAGGCCCAGTTGGAAATTGATTGCGGTGGCCCAGGCCCCGGGGCGCCGGGACAGAAGGCTGGGGAAAGGAAGGCTGGCAGGCCCCTGCCTTTCTGGGTCTTGTTGGCCTCTCCGCCGTCCCAGAAGCCAACACTTCCCAAACAGCTGAGCAGCTGCAATGAATGCCAGCCTTTTGCCTCTTTCTGTTTTTCACATGGTCGATTTGTGTAAAACAGGAAGTGCTACCATGACAATGGCGTGATTTTTGAAAACTCTGAAAGCCACGGGTGCCTTGTGCTGAAGCTGAGCTGTGCTCACTGAGTCTCCCACTGGGTGGGCCCCACTCCAAGGGGCCACGATTTCCCTCTACCCTGCCGCAAAATGGATGGGCTGCTCTGTTCCTAAGACTGAGGCCAAGGTTGCTTAGCCTTTTGCGAACTCCTGGTGGCGAAGGGCTACCGCACGGCACTGCAGAAAGGGAGGCTGGCTGAGCGCCTGCCTGGCCCTGAGAAGGCAGGGGGGTTTATGAGGTCACAGGAAGCCCTCCCCTGCCCAGACGTTGGTCCTAGAGAAAGGATTCAATCCATCTTGGTGGCCCCGGGCTGGGAGAATTGGGAGGGAAGGTAATTTCCTGAGACACAGGCGGGCAGGAACGTGCAATGGGTGCCAAGCTGGAGTGGGTGGTGGGGGTGGGGGGAGGAGCAGGGCAGCCACTTCAGCAGGGACTTCTAATCTTCCATTCAGTTGGATCCAAATCTCTGCTTCGGATTCACCCTGGTGGCCTCACTCAGTGGACTCCTCCAGTCGTTTTTCAAAATGACATTTTCTCCTGAGCCCTGAAGACATTCTTTTGGAAGGAAGTCTTTTGAAATCAGAGCCTGGTTTGAAGCTTGACTGTGGCTTCCTATCTGTGGACACTCAGGCAGGTGGCTCGACCTCTCTGAGCCTCAACTCACGGAGTTTGCGTGACGGTGAAATGTGGTTATGAACAGGAAGGACCCAGCGGTGGTCAGATCCCTGCTCTGCCACCTGGTGTCTGTATGGCCACGGGAAGGACACTGAACCAACTTCTTAGGCTTCGTCTTTCTCATCTCTGATGTGGGGATAGTGGTGCCTGCTCCAGAGCATGGCTGTCAGGGTCAAATGAAACTAACCCCTAGCTAGGTAAGCCGTGAACATGGCATATAGAAAAAAACTCAGCAAACAGTTACTAGAATTACTACTATGGCTGGCAATGGCAGCTATTATTAGTATCACTTGGGAATAAAATAAAATAAATATGGGAGCACGTTTGATTTTTAGGACCCAAAGGAAATATTTCAGAACACCCTTTTCTTCTCCTCTGGCTCTTATTGATTCATTCAGTCAACAAGTACTTACTGAGCACCTACTAGGTGCTGCTCACCTTGTTAGGCACAGGAGACATGGCAGGCAACAAAGCGTGCGTCCTAGAGCACCGTGGCTCCAAGTCTAGTGGGAAAGTCAGACAACCTGACAATTCTGTGACTTGATTTGGAAGTAAGCTTGACTTGAGACCTGCACGTAAGGGAAGTGACAAAGCCTGTCCCTATGTACCCACCTGGATGCGAAGGGGCTCAGAGGCCTGGCTGTCCCCGAGACCCTGGGGGGGTCTCATCCCTCAGGGGTAAGGTTCAGATTGTGATATTCAACGATTCCCCCTCCCCCTTTTCCCTTAGAGAGGTCAGCCAGAAAGGAGACCAGAGGTGCAAATGCACTTGGCAGAAAGAGAAAGCCATATGACCCTGTGAAGGGGAGACCCAGCTGGAGACCCAGCCTGGAGACCGCTGGACACCACAGTCTAAGTCCTTCCTGGCCAACTTTGTGGACCCAGCAGACGGGAACTTGCACTTTTCCTGCCCTACCTTAAACCTTCTTGGGATGACTTCGCCATGAGCAAAAAGATGCCGGAGGGTGCTGGCTGATGGCTGGTGGCCGCTGGCCGGTGGTTCCACCTTGAGGTTTCAGGCAGGGCCAGGATTCTCCAGCCCATTGGAGCTGAAACGAGATGCGGACTTTGATCTCTCACTAACAATTTGAGGAAAACTGATTCCAACCAGACGCCAAACCAGCCTTTGAAGACGACTCTCCCAGCCCCACTATTGTTGCAGGCGAGGAAATCAGAACATTTCTCATCTAATTCGGGTTGAAATACCTCTTTGGATTCTTATTTCTATCACCCACCGAGTTCCTTCAATTGCCTTTCCTTTTCTTAACTCTTTAACAGCTATAATTACCTGGCATACAATAGTTACCTGGGTTTCATTTTTAATTGTGTATTTTTAAGGAGGCCTCCTTTTAGTTAAGCAATTTCGAACAATAGCTTGATTATAATTCTAAATGCCTTTGACACAAGTGATTTCTTCTTTCCCAAAACATGCTCTGATGCTTTCTGAATATTGTAATCTGTCTCCCTTAGCAGTTTTGCTTGGATCTCACCCACTAAGGAAACCAACTGTAAATACTTGGCGTTCCTGCTACCTCTGGTCATCCACGCTGGTTACCCTTCATTTCAGTGTTAGGCCTCAGGGAACCTGGACGGGAAAGACCAGGCCTGTTTCCTGCCTGAGGCTCTGCTTCTTTATAAACAGCCATTCCCTGAGGGTGTGCAGGTCAGAGTGTCGTCACTGGTGGGATTCCTAATGAAGTTGTTTTTTAAGACTTTATTTGTTTATTTTTAGGGAGAGGGGAAGGGAGGAAGAAAAAGAGGAGAGTAACATCAGTGTGTGGTTGCCTCTCATGCGCCCTCTACTGGGACCTGGCCAACAACCCAGGCATGTGCCCTGACTGGGAATTGAACTGGCAACCCTTTGGTTCTCAGGCCAGCACTCAATCCACTCAGCCACACCAGCCAGGGCTCTAATAAAGTTTTTTTCCCCATGGTAAAATACTCATAACATGAAAATTAACCATTTCGTCATTTTTAAGTGTATGATTCAGTGGTATTAACTACATTCATAATGTGATACGACCCTCCCCTCTGTCCACCTACAGAGCTTCTTTATTATCCTGAACATAGGTTTGTGCACATTGAACAGTAATTTCCTATTCTCCCCCCTCCAGATCCTGGTAACTCTACTCTGCTTTCTGGCTCTATGAGTTTGCCTACCCCGGCCACCTTATATAACTAGAATCAGGTAATGTCTGTCCTTTTGTGACTTGCTCCTTTCATTCAGCACAATGTCTTTAAGGCTCATCCATATCATAGCCTGCATCAGAATTTCAGCCCCTTTTACTGCTAAACAACATTCTGCTGTAGGTGTGTACAGTCTGTTTGTCCAGTCACCTGCTGATGGACGACGCCTGGGTTGTTTCCATCCTTGGTGATTTCCTAATAGAATTTACCATGACCGTTGGGGCCTGGCCCCTCTGTGGCCCAGGACCAGTTTAGCAGCCACCCTTTTACTTCATTTCGTCCTTTGGAAACAGGACGTCATGCAGAGCAGCCTTGACACCAGGGTTCTGTGGGTGAGCGGGGGCCAGACAGGGTGAGGGATGGGCAGCTGTGGTCACTGCGGACCCCGGCAGACAGAGTGATGCCCGAGGGTCCCCCTGGTCAGAGGCTGGGCACCCCTGGTGGGTGTGGTTGCACAGCATAAGGTTTCTGAGGCCCTAACAAAAGAGAGCTGTCCTTTCTCCATTCCACTAAACCTCGCTTGTAAATTTTTATTTTTCAATCACAGTTGACATGCAGTGTTACATTGTATTAGTTTCAGGTGCACAGCAGAATGGTTAGACTTCACACTTTACCACGTGTTCCCCCTGCTAGTTCAAGTGCCCACCTGGCACCACACATAGTTATTACAATATTATTGACTATTTTCCCTAGGCTGTGTTTGCATCCCTGTAGCTATTTTGTAACCACCAATTGGTACTTCTGAATCTCTTCACCTTCTGACCCAGTCCCTCCAACACCCCTCTCCTCTGGCAACCATCAGTCTGTTCTCGCATCTGTGAGTCTGTTTTGTGTGTTCTAACCCATTTATTTAGTCACTCACTCACTCCTTCCAATATTATTAAACCTGTGGTGGGAAGCAGCACAGTCCCTGCCCACCCTGAGCTTCCAGCCACTAGAGGCGGAGAAGCGAACCTACACAGACCGTGCCTGGGGCTGAGGGGCTTTAGGAGGAAGAGCATGGGGTGCTGTGGGAACACACAGGGGACATCTCACCTGTACTTGGGAGCCAGGAAAGAAAGTCACACCTGTGCTAAGTCATATGGGAAAGGAAAAAGTTAGCCAGCGGGAGGCAGAAGGCAGAAGGCAGAAAAAGTGAACCAGGCCTAGGCTGGAACATGCAAGGGGCTGGAGCTGACATGGAGGTCCTATGGTGGGCTCAGGTGTGTGACTTGTGCTTTGAGGTGGGGGTGACAAGATTCAGAAGAGGCAGGAAAGGTAAAGCCACAGGCTCCGGCAGGGTGCACTGGTGAATGATTTCCTGTGGCATTTGGGCTTCCCCCAGAGCAGAAGAGGAGTCCCAGTAACTGTGAGGCAGGCGACAGATCAGGAGAAAGCAGACCCTGTCCTTCACTCGAAGGAGGCACCCAGCTGAAATCCTAAGATCCCGCATCTGCTGGGCGCTTCCTGGGTGTCAGGTGCTGCTCAAATACTTCACGCCCATCGTCTCTATTAGTCCTCACAACGTCTGACCAAGGCGAAGACAAGGAAACTGAGGCCTGGAGAGGCACTCAGTGCCCGGGCTGCATGCCCAGGTCAATGACATCAGGAATTCCGGGGCGGTACCCCTGGTGTCGGCATCTTTCCAAGCTCCCGGAGCGATGTCAGCCCAGCCCTGGCATTACACTGCCCTGTTTCCAGGGAAGGCAGGCTAACTCTTGCAGAAAGGAGGGGGCACAAGCTTGCAGGGTCCACCCCGCTGCCAGAGGCTCTGTGGCTTTAAGAACTGGGGCTGGCTGCCTGCCAAGGAGGCTGCCCGCCATCGTCTGCCAGCCTGTAGGCCACGTGGTTGCTGGGACTGGCCTGGGCTTGCAGCCCAGAGCTCTGCAGAGCAAGAAAAGGGACCTTTACGCCTTTTTGAGGGAAGCACATTCTGCAAAGCTGTGGAAACAAAGAGAGGAACTGTTTGTAGCCCTGGTGCAGACGTCCCAAACAGAGAGTAAGTCAGGAGGGCAGGGACGCAGCACAGACCTGCCCCTCCAGCTCCCACCGGCCACATGCCCACACCCCTCCCACCTGAGGAACCAAATGCCAGCAAATAGCTCACCCTCCCGGGGGTGGGGCACAGCCCATGAGCAAGCAGGAATTTTCCTGAAGTTCTCCAAGGGGCAGGGATCTCTGTTTCCTTGAGAAAAAGTCAGGGCTCAGCTCACGACAGGTAGCACATGGTGACGGGCAGCACCTCGGGTGTGGGTTCTCTTTCTCCTCTTGGTCCCCCCTCCTGCGTGGGCCTCGTGGTCCCTGTCATTGCCTCCGAGAACCCCCAAGGTCATGTGAAGGCCAAGAAAGTGAAACTGAAACCTGTCAGGTATCTGTCAGCCTTTGGGACAGGAGCTTGCTGGGGATGAGATGATGAAGCTAACAACCAAAATAGGAGGTGGCAGTAGGGTGAAGGGACTCTGGGCTGCCACAGCCACAGGGCCAAACTGGCCTGTCCGCGTTGCCTGGGCTTCCAGAAGACACAGGCAGGGACCTTGGAGAGGAGCAGAGGTAGGGCAGCGCCAGGCCCTCGCCTCCACCCGGGGGCCGACCTCTATCAATGTTCTTGCCTCGTCCAGACTGCAGGGCTGCTTGTCTCAGTCTGTGCCTGGGGTACCAGGACCGCCGCGGTACGAGCAACCGCAGCAGCATGTGTCTGACCTGGGCACCGCCAGACTCTGAAGGCACGACCACGTGACCTCTGGGTGTCTCCTCGCTGGCACTCTCTGAGCCTCCCTGAACCCCCTTCATCCCAGACAATGAGCGCTAATGGCGGTCCACCTTCATGAGAACACATGCAAAGGTTACGGCGTGGTGGGGGAGGTGGCAGGCCGAGGTTACGCTGGCAGGAAGGAGAATGCTGGCGCTGACGGTGCGCAGAGGAGGGAGCTCCTTTGTGTCTTCAAGATAACCGGGTGCAAGCTAGAAGGAAGGGGAAGAGGGGTCGGAGAGTACAAAGCGAAGAGAAAGCTGGCTTCTCCGGAGGGGGAGAGCTCAGGGGCGGCAGCAGGAAGAAGAAGGGGGCAGGGTGGGGGGAGCTGGGAGGGAACGGCGCTGCAGCTGCGACCTAATCCTGATGGGACATAACCCCTTAAAGAGTTAAATGTGACTTCCGGCTGCAGGGTTCGATCCCAGGAGATCCACCAGTGGCCCTTGGCATGTTTTATTCGCACATTTCAGCATCCTGGGAAAATGGGGAAGTTTCACACGTGACTCTGAAAGGCAAGTCAGCATCAGGCCCCCGGCATAGCGGGGCAGCTAGAGCCGGAGCTCCTGCTCCCCGAGGTCCCCACTGTCACGGCAGTGCTGTGCCTTCCCCGTCCCACTCCCCAGCCACGGTGCCCGCCTGGCTCCCACCAGCCTTGAAGGTTGCCGCTCCTCCTGCGGTTGATAGTAATGATCTCTGGAGCCTGGGTGTGTTTGTGTGTATGTGCGTGCGTGTGTGCATGCCTGTGCAAACCACAAACACAGGGAGGCTCTCTTCCATTCACCTCCCCCTTTCTCAGTTGAAGGCGACAGATGCGCGAAACCAGGCGTACCCCTCCCCTCCACCGATTTCGGCAGCCTTTCCAGGCGACCTGCCAAATTGCTAGATGGTATTTGCATTGTAAAAATATGGAGTGCATTTTGTTATTTCTGGTTTTAAGGATTTCCCAGCCCTCCTAAAGCAATGTTTAACTTATGCCACGCTTACAGCTTTCAAAGCTTTTCTTAAACATCCATGAGTTCACTGCATCCACCCAGCGGTCCTGCGAGGTTGGTCATGTGGGTCCCCCTTGCAGGGCCCACTGAGGGGAAACTGATCAATAGAGACAACAAATGACTTGCCTTGGTCGTGCAGTGACTCTGAAGACAAGTATCAGGGCAGGGCTCTCTAGAAAACTAAGTTGTGTCCTTTTGGCTCCGCAGAATTGCAAAGTGATGCTTTGATAAACATGGTGACTACAGGTATGATTTCCACCAGAATTCTTGTCTGACTGCTGGTTCGGCCACTCAATAGCTATGAATCTTTAGGAGAAGAATGGAATCTCCCTGGGCCTCCTTCTCTGTAAATGGGGATAACGGCCCTCGCTTAGTGAGTGTTGTGTGGATTAAATACCTGTTAAGCGTTGAGAACGATGCCTGGCACAGAGTAAGTTTCCAATAAACAGCACTATCGGTACAGAAATGATCACTCCCTGTACCTTCGGAAAACACTCAGTATCGGGTAGGGTATGAGCTAAGTGGTAACCAAAAGACCCCAAAATACATTTGCTCAAAAAGGAGAGATGTGTATTTCTCTTTCACCCAATAGCTAAGAGGTAGATGGTCTGGACAGGCAAACAGCTCCGCTCCACAGGGTCACTCAGGAACCCAGCTTCCTGCTGTCTGTTTGTCCAGTCACCTGCTGATGGATGACGCCTGGGTTGTTTCCATCCTTAGTGATTTCCTAATAGAATTTAACATGACCGTTGGGGTCTGGCCCCTCTGTGGCCCAGGACCAGTTTAGCAGCCACCCTTTACTTCATTTCGTCCTTTGGAAACAGGACGTCATGCAGAGCAGCCTTGACACCAGGGCTCTGTGGGCGAGCGGGGGCCAGACGGGGTGAGGCATGGGCAGCTGTGGTCACTGCGGACCCCGGCAGGCAGAGTAATGCCCGAGGGTCCCCCTGGTCAGAGGCTGGGCACCCCTGGTGGGTGTGGTTGCACAGCATAAGGTTTCTGACTCCCTAACAAAAGAGAGCTGTCCTTTCTCCATTCCACTAAACCTCACTTATAAATTTTTATTTTTCAATCACAGTTGATACTCAGTGTTACATTGTATTAGTTTCAGGTGCACAGCAGAATGGTTAGACTTCACACTTTACCATGTGTTCCCCCTGCTAGTTCAAGTACCCACCTGGCACCACACATAGTTATTACAATATTATTGACTATTTTCCCTAGGCTGTGTTTGCATCCCTGTAGCTATTTTGTAACCACCAATTGGTACTTCTGAATCTCTTCACCTTCTGACCAGTCCCTCCGACACCCTCTCCTCTGGCAACCATCAGTCTGTTCTCGCATCTATGAGTCTGTTTCTGTTTTGTGTGTTCTAACCCGTTTATTTAGTCACTCACTCACTCCTTCCAATATTATTAAATCTGCCTCCAACCACTTTCTTTGTTGCAGAAGGAACCTACTCTATATGCAGACGTGACCTTGACCCCTCTGCTAAACACCTGGACTTTCACTGTCAGACCAGGAGCTACTTCATTTGACGCTGGTGGCTGGTTTTCCTCTCTATCCTGCAGGTCACTCTATCCGTCTGTGTGAACCCACCCAGCCGAGCCCCCCATCTGGGGCGTTTCTGCCCTGCTCCTCTCTGGGGTGCTGACTGCTGGCCTGCCATGTCTACTGGCCCGTCACCGTCCTGGGTCCCCAGGGCAGCCTAGGAACCCTTGCCAATGTCCCTAGACACTTTCCTGTCGCATTGCCATCAGCATCTCCTCCCCACTGCCCCTCTTTTCTCAACCCTTCTTTTATTTAAATTCTCACCTGAGAATATGTTTATTGATTTTAGGGAGGAGGAGAGAGAGACATCGTTGTGAGGGAGAAACATCTGTCGGTTTCCTCCTGAATGTGCCCTGACCAGGGATCAAACCCACAACCTAGGTATGTGCCCTGACTGGGAATCGAACCCACAGTCTTTTGGTTTACAGAGCAATGGTCCAACCGACTGAACCAACCGGCTGGGGCTCAATTCTTCTTTTAACCTTTCTTTCATTGTATCTCATTGTCATTAATACAGAATCTATCCATTCCATTGATGAAATTGAGCAAAATTGAGCCCCCCACCCCTGGAAACTTTCTCAGGGTCCGCCCTGGTGACCAGGCAGCATCTCCCCTACTCTTCCTTGCCATCACTTCGTGCCAGGAAAGAGGCGTCTTCCTGCCACGGCCGAGCTTCCCGGGTGCTCTGGACGCGCTCCCATCTCCCCCGGAACTTTGCTCCAGTCACTGTTTCCTCCTGTTCACATCTTTGGCCTCTTCTGTGCCCGCATTTCGCATCGGTGCCTAAGCAGATGCGTTCTCTCCAGTCTGAAAAATACCCTGTTCTCGACTCCGTGTTTCCCTCTAACTTCTCTCTTCAGTATCCCTTTCTCTCCCCTTTCACGGCCGCTTCTGGACAGACTTGTCCACACAGGCTGCGGCGTCCACGCCCATGACCGAATGCCCAGGCAGAAGCCGTTAAGGGCAGCCACGCTCCCGGTCCCGTGGCTGCTCTCCTCCCTGATCCGACCCCACCCTCTGGAGTGTGGGTGCTGGTGTAACCCCCACACCTTATGCTTCTGCCCCCACGGCTCTCTGCTCTGGGTTTCCACCCTGCTCTCCTGGACACTGTTTCCTATGCCTTTCACAGAGAGACCTTCCTCTCCACTGACTCCCATTTAAATGTAAAAAACAGCCTTAGCTCAAAGGCTGTGCAAAAAAGTTTTGCCAACCCCTGGCTTAGTCTATTCTCCCAATATCTACATTGCAACAAAGTCCTGTTGTTTCCTGCAATATAGCAGTGCTGGTGTGGTTTCCTCAAGCGAGTAACCCGTGAGTCAGACCGAGAGTCAGAGAGACAGCCACCACCCACTGGGTAACCCCTGCTGCCGCTCCTGCACCCGCCAGAGTGAGAGCAGGTGCCCCTGACACCTGGGCGCTGAGACCTGTAGGGCTACAGGGGTGGACTCTGCTGCCCCCTGCTGCCCTCTCCTGGCCAGCGGGTGTGGAAGATCAGACATGAAGTCCCGTTGGAGTTGCTGTGGTTCCTGGTGCGTTCAGGTTGGGGTGCTGGTCTCACAGGTTTGTCAAAACCTGCACAGTGGAAAGGACTGAGGCAGGGCTCTTGACACTGGTTGTGGGTGGCCGAGTTTATTGTTTGTCGTAGGCTCCCAGGGCTGTTTGAGCACCAGTATTACAGAAAAAGAAGAGTGACCGTACATCGCACATCTACCATGTGCCGAGTGTTGCTAAACATGTATTATTTCACGTCATCCTTATAGCAACCACGAGCTCCGTGTTCCTTGACTGTTCGGCATATTCCCTCTGTACAAGTGATAAAACTGAGACCCACGGAGGTTCAATGCCTTGGCCGAGGTCCCAGGGAGCAGAGAGCGGAGCTGGAGCTCACAGTTCGTCCGTATTCATCTGACTCTAAACCCATTTCTTAACTGCTCCCCAAGGTCCTCAATCTTTTGTGTAGAGTCTAATTCAGTGGGAACTGTGTGAAGCCACAAATCTGCGTCTTTAGCAAGGATTCTGGTGCTTCTGGACATCGCTTTGAGAACACCGCCTCCCGTAAAGGGAAACTGAACTGCTTCCAGCAGATGCCTATAACTATTCAATGCCAGTAACCTCGTTCTGGGGTGGAACAAACGCGGGGCCTGCCTGTCCTCTTGGAGGAAAGAGATTAGCAGAGGTGATAGAATGGAAAATCTCTCATGGTTCTTCAGGCTTCCTGACCCCACCCCCGTCTGAGCCCAGAAAAGTGCAACTCAGTCAGATTCACCTACAGAGGTGGGACTCCCACCCCCGCCCCTCCCCCTACAGACAAAGAGCCCGGAGCAAGTGCACCCTAAAATCTAAGGGAGGCCTGGCTGTGCCGAGGGACAACCTCACATCTCAGTTGCAATGTGGGCACACGCCTTTCCTTTCCTAATTAGTCAGACTTGGCACTCAGGCTGTCTGGTCTGGAACCGTTCATGGCTTGGTAGGCAGAGACCAAAGGGAAGGGACTTAGGACCTAAACACAGTGAGTCTGTAATGAAACAGAGCAGCCTGGCCCCCACTCACTCACTCCTCGGCTCACTGTGCCTCGCAGCAGCAAAGCTATGTTTGGCCAGGAATGGGACGGAAACTTCCCCCCACCTGGCGGCCCCTGTTTTCTTGAGCTTTCCTGTATCTCTTCGGCTGCTAGGTAAGGTTGGCCATAATCCGCAGAGAAGGGGCCAGTGAGCACCAGCTACTAGGTGGTGCCCAGGGAAGGAGAAATATAGTGGGGAAAACAAAACTCTGCCCCTTTTGTCCTGGGTGTTGCACCGATGGGACCGAATCTCCCAGAGCAGTGTTGGAATTACGTCTTCATTTGACGAATGAGAAGACGGAGGCACAAACACACAAGTGATGTGTGTGAGGCCCCCCAGATAGTAAGACCACCGAGTGCCCACAATCGAAGCCAGAGTCCTCACCCTTTCCAGGCAGCCTTGTGCCACTTGCCACTGGAAGGGGTCACTGCCCTGTCTGTTTGTCCCTCACGACTCCCTCCACTCCCAGTCCAAGCGGGTTCCACTCACAGGGCTTGGGGAAAGGCCATTGGCCCTTGGATCCAAGAACAACGTAAATACGATGAGCCATTTTTTAAAATGAGATTATATATGTCAAGCACTTACCTTACTTTGCCCAGCGCCTGGTACTTTTTAGAGCACTCAGCTGGCCTCCGAGCATTGCTGGGCCTCGGCCTGGGAGGCTGCTGGCTGTGGGAGACTCAGCTGACCGCAAGGTAACAAACACTTTTTAAGTAACTACAATTGATGGTCAAAATAGGAAGGAAAAAATAGCCTTGGGCTCCAGATATATGTAATCCAACTGGGGAATTGAAAGACTTTAATATTTAGAAAAAGAAATCGAACCTTCCTTACAGCTCACACGTCACCAGGGTACTCATTTCTAGCCCTGATCGGACACGTGCAGCTCTGGAGAAAATGACCTCCCTCTTTTGGGGTCTCAGTGTACTTACCGGAAAAATGGAGGCAGTGCCGATCTCAGGGGGTCTGGTTGTCAGGGTCATGTACGTGGCCCATCCTGAACAGCGCACAGCAGCCGGGAGAGAGGAAGAAGCAGCATACGGTGGACTCGCTCCAAGGCCTGACTTGGAAGTTGAGCTCTCAGTGTGGCGAGGGCTCTGCAGAGAGGAAAGAGTTCCAGGTGCTTTTATCCTCAGGTTACGGAAAACCCAACACCAGTTGGTTCGAACACCAATGGAGAGTCCTGAATCAAGGAACCGAGAAATGCACAAGCGGGGCATATTTGAGAGGCGGTTCAATATGCGGTTCAGGCCGTCAGGGCTCCGGTGCTTTCCACCAGTGCCCCTCAGGGGTTGGTGTGCTCGTGATGGTCAAAGGGTGTGAGCAGTCCAGGCCTCCCATCTGCAGCCCTGCAGGCCTCTGTCCCCCCTTCTCAGGAAGTGCTGCCAGTCATTCTGGCTGAAGCAACCTGAGCCATGTGAACCGATCCCCGCCTGCCTGGGCTGGCCAGGCATTGGATTAGGCCACCACCAGAACCTTGGAGCAGAGTCCAGGTTTCGGAAGCACATAGCTTCCCTAAAGGAAACTGGGCCCTCTCGGGGGGTGCAATTTGGCAGGGAGACGGCACAAGGCTCTCCACGGGGAAACCGATTTTGTGCCATGAAAAGGAACAAGCAAGCTGTGCGTGAGAGTGAGCCGCAGTCCGGCTGGGCCCAGAACAGCATTCCTGCGAGGGGGCCGTGAGAAGCGGCATCTGAACCGGCGGTGGGGGCGCTGGAGGGGCCCGCGGTTTCACCGGAGAGCATTTAGCAGCTGTGCCAGCAAATTCAGGAAACGGGCCTGTTTCCTTCTATTATGAAGGCTAATCCTTTAGGCGTTAAATATTTACTCTGCCTGAAAACGCTTCGAGGGGTGAACAGAGAAGGGCGTCCGCAGTTGCTGAGTGCCTACCATCTGCTTTCCCCGCAGTTTCATTTTCCATGCTCCCAACCTTCCCCCCACCCCCCACCCTGGGGAAGGGAGCTTCGCCTGCTTCCCAGACGGAGGAAGAAAGGGAGTTTAGGTGACTTGTCCAGAGTCTGCTCAGCTCATAGCTGGGAGAAGGGAGACTGGAGCCCCCAGGCCTGCTTGATTCCAAAATGCACAGGCAGGCAACCATGTTGCAATTTTTTCCAGTTTGTGAGAATTCCATGGTCTGGTGCGTCATAGCAAGTCCCTGAGCTGATGTCCCTATGCATGGTGACACCTGCTTCGGAGCACGAGCTTGTCCTTGGTTACATGTCTCATAGCCAAGGACTTGATGAGTGTAGGAAGCCGGGGGCAGGGGACTACTCAGGTACCTGCCCCACCGGGACGAGGGGCTGGACGTCAGGACGGGAGAAGCAGGGCGGCTGGGCATCGCTGTCCTGGCCATCGTCGCTGCCTCCTCCTCCTCACACCCTCCCCTCCAGCAGCCCGAGTGCTCTGCTCAGAGCTTCACATACTTTGTCTCCTAGAACCAGCACAAAGCGCCTTTGGGGCAGGTGTGATTGTTCTCCCCATTTTACAGATGAGGAAAGCAAGGGACACCGGGAAAGCTGAGGTCACAGCCTGTGGCTTGTCCCTGTGGGTTGTGTATCCTCATCCCCATCTTACAGAGGAACACCTTTGACTTCCGAGAGGGTGACCGCTGATCCCACTTGGATGTCAAGTGGTTGAGTCTGCATTTGAACTCAAGTTCTGTCTGAGCCCAGACACTGGCAGGGCGATCGCTGTTACGTAAGGAAACCCTTCCGGGGGGGCTCTTTGGCTTGTGGATCCTGCTCTGGAGAGAAGGTCCCAGATGGTCCCAGGAGCCCTCGAGATCCCTTTGTTGGAATAAACACAGGTCCTTTCTGGGGT